TTTTTATAATTTATTTTATTGCTCCCATTCATTAGATTACGATAAATAATTTTAGTTGCATTTTTTATTAAAACTAATGAAATTTCGTGAAATTTTCCATTTAAAGTATTGAATTCTAAAAAAAAAAATTAAACGGGGCAGGGCAAAATCCCCCGTCCCTGACCCGAATACCCGATTCAACTGGTAATCCTTGCCCCGCTGAGGCGGGGCCTCGCGGGTATCGGGTTTGTCGGGTTTTTTTGTCATTCCTATTTGAAATTTGTGAAATGAGTCCTCATTCCGACGTGAATACTACATTCTATATAAACATACATTCACACTACACATTACCATATATTTGGTCAATCATGAATATGACAAAAAAAACATATATCAAGGATTTCTATATAAGGGTTTGACCAAGCATTCAACCCTTCTTCAACGAGCAATGGGAATTAGCATTTATACTAAGTTTGCTACAAGGTCCTAGAAGATAGATTAACCCTCAAATAAGCCCCTAAATTTTCAATTCTCATAATTAGACCCAGAAATTTGGGTGCTAGGGATACTTACAGTTTTCAGCGGTACAGAATGACAGGAAAATGGAATCATTGATGAGGAAATAAAAAAGATGAATCTGCATGTATCATGCTGTTATTATCATCACTAATTCATGTATCGTATAAAAATCTGTTGAAAGAAATTGTTTTTGTCTGCTTCTAATAGTATTTATTATGTATGTAAATTAGTTTTCTGTTTGAGCTCAACTTTTTGCATCACTTGGAAACCCCTTTTTTTTGGAGCAAGTATAGGTTTTCCTTTATCCCACCGCCCTTCTATTACTCCTTTCCAATTTATGATATTCTTCCAGATAAGCATGGCCATTTATATTTAATTTGTGTCTTACATATCTTGATATGTTATTTTCAAGCCCTTTCTGTGGGTGTTATTTCGCAGGTTCGTGTTGCTGAGTATAACAATGTCCGGAGTCAACTTAATGCCATAAACCGAAAGCAGGCTGGAAGGTATGTCACTAATATGAGATTTACTTGATCAAGGCTTTGGGTTGTCGTAACATCCTTGAACTATAACTCTAGAAGTGAACATATCTCGATTTGCTAGCTGATCCGAAAGCCTCCTGGATATTTGTTCCTCAAGTATGACTTATGAGTATTCTTGAGTGCATGGAGGTTTTTTGAGGTTATTATTAAGTGTCCTGTCAACATCATAAATATTTTAACTAAAAAATTGTAGCTGAGCATCTCTATGTAACAAATTTGAAAATAAAAGCTTAGCTCATGCTCTTGGTATTACTAATCATAAGGATTTCTAACAGCCTTTGTATTGAAAATCGTCTCTTTCTCCATGCAAGTTAGAATATAAAAGTTATATGTGATTTATGGAAATATTTCCATCTAGCTTATATCCTACTCTAACTAGGAATTAATATTTTTCCTTTCAGGATTTCTTTCCCATTTACTTTTCCCTTGTATAAATAACCCATAATTTGATGAATAATGCAAGTACTTTAGCCTAAATTTCAAGTTTGTATGGGAGCAAGTTTAATCGGATCTGGTTAAAGTTGCAATTGCTTTTGTTCTCTAGCGAATGGCCTCGTGCCACTCGTCAGGCCAAGTTTTTCCTTCTTTACTTTCTATCTTTTAGTTTGTCAAAATTTAGGACCTTAAAATAAGATTTCAATTCCCAAATTTAAAATCATAAATTCAATTTTACCCTTAATTCAAACCCTAAAATTAATCTTCGGCTGAATCACCTCTCTTACAAGTCGTACACCTCTGGTGAATGCCTCTTTTGGCTGCACGACTCCACCAAAGCTGTTTTATTGCCTTCACGACTACGACAACCCTACCACTCCTCCTTCGTGAGCTTGCTCACCATCAGATCTTCGCAACGCAGTGCCGGAGCCTTGGCAAAGCAGAGCCAGACCCTTGAATCCTTAGGCAAAGGAGCAAATTCTAGGTTAAGGTGATTGATTCTTCTCCTTCGCGATTCTTGGGGTATTGTTTGATAAAGAGGGAAATGGGCACTAAGGCATTTATCCTTTGTGAGGCGAGGCGTAAGCCTCAAGGCGCTTTGAAGCGTAAGCCTCGTTGTGAACTAAAAAAACACAGTAAAAAAAATATGAAAGTAAAAAAATAAGTATGTTTAACCATATACAAAATGTAAACCTCAAAGCAATATATTAACTTAAAGTATCGTATCAAACAAGCAAATAATAAATCAGTAAAGATATAAAGTCCCTATCTAATTTTTAGTAGATTTTAATAAAAAGTTATGAAATATGTGGTTGAAAAGTTGATAAAAGTTGTGGATCCTAAGAAATATGTGGTAAAAATTAATTATTGGATTTAACTTACCAAATAGGGGCAAGGTTGCAACTCAAAACAAAAAATGGGTTAACTCTCCCATATGACACTAGTTCCTACTACTGAGATCATGTATAAAATCACTAGTTTTGATATCATCTTCCTCATCAATGTCAAAGTACCCTTCCGACTCGTCCTACAATTGCATTGGTTTTTTCCTGTCCTTTGCTATAAATGAAAACAAAATATCTATCAATTAGTAAACAAGAGTTTGTTTGAGCCCCATTTTTTGGGAAAATTGATTTTGTGACAGTGATTTTTAGATAATGTGTAGTTAAAAAGTAGGAACAAGTTTTAGGCTTATGTAAAAGTATTATATTGGGAGAATGGAGGGTAGAAAATGAGTTTAGAGAAAAATGAGTTTTTAAAGAATGTGGCTCAAACAAGGACTAAATAAAGAAGCCCAGATTTCAATCTGACAATTTTATAATACCTTTATGTTTCATCGTTTCCTTTTAGGTTAGCTTTGGGTAACCTTAGCACTTTCATTTCCTTCTCCTCCAAAAAGATGGAGATCTAGATCATTGTCATCTACGTTGACGTGTTTGATTGATGTTCACCACTTTGATCAACAATCCATTCATTGTCTGATGACAAGTCACTTATAGTAGAAGGATCCTTGTATTCTTTGAGTTTCTGTAATCTCAAACTTCCGTCTTTGAGCTTCTTGTTGTACATGACATAAACCATATAATTCATCCTTTGTGTGGTCTAAGGGTTTCTTTTTTTATGTACTTGATTTAATCAATTGCGTTCACAAGCAGAAGATGAACATGTTAGGCTCAAAACACTAATAGAATAGTTCTTCAATGATGGAATACCATCACCAAATTGAGTCCACCAATGGAATAAAAAAAAATAAGAAACAAAAATACAATGTCATATTAAATATTAGGCTATATCCATCCTGTTAATGAGTAAATATGAGGTAAAAAACACTTTAAAGTAAATATATACATGGAGAACGTTTTTTGCAAGATGATGTAGCCTTTTCAAGACCTAAGAGACCTTTTTTATTCTATCAGGAGATTTGCATTGTCCTTTTATTTTGATGAGGAATGAGTCTTTCCATGCAATCGTATAAACTAGATTTATTGCAGAATGATTGGAAAGGTTGTCATTATATTGAAAATGGGGATTCAAAAAATACACAGCAGCATGCAGATTTCGATGAAGTCGAAAATCCCAATTTTCATCAATAAAACTCCAGATCTCCTTATAAGACGTTTCGTTTCCACCCAAAATTTTTGCTGTCCTTTGTGGAATCGATAGGACCATAAATGAACCCCATGGCAGGCATCTGCTCAGAATCAACGAGCCTGAACACTGAAATTAAATGTTTCGTAGCCTTCAAGGCATATGAAACCCTCAGCCAAAAATACTTATCTTTCACAATGATTTTTCTGATTTCTTTACCATCGGATTTATTAGCATAGGATGATTTTGCCCACTTCTCAGAAATAAACATGGACTCCAAAGGTGGTTTTAGTGTAAATATTTTTTGTAAAGACAAATATGCCATAGCAAATCTAGTAGGAACCAGTCGAGCAATATCTAAATTTGTGAATTTCCTCATCAATGCTAACACCCATGTATGATAGTAAATAAAATTCCTCACCTTCTTTTCGTTTAACAATGCATTCTTATGCTGTGACAATTCCCCAAGTTTTTCAAGCATCAAGTCTATACAGTGAGCAGTACATGGAGTCCAATACAAATATTTTCTTTTCTCCGTCAATTTTCTCCCCATTGCCTTATAAGCACTAGCATTACCTGTCAACTTGGACAACAATTTGTTCTACCACTTCTTCAACAACGTCATCAAGTAATTTGAACATCCAATCTGCATCCTTAACTGCATCAGAAAAGTTAATTGATTTTAGGAAAATCGTTATTTATCAGACTAACCATCAGATAATATTGGAACCCCCTGTCTTGCTCCATATCTTCTACTTACACTAGTAACTAGTCTTAAATCCAAGTTCGAAGTTCATACATTGTAGGGGTTTTAAGACCTCTACCGTATGAACCAACTGGTCGAATCATGTTAATGAGTGAAGGACCTGTTGCCATATAGAAAGGGATAGGATTTTTAAAAATGAACCTTCCAATCACAGGTCTAGTGTTAGCCATCAAAGTTGTTTCTAATTACTGCCTTGTCTGGGCATGATGATTTTGGAGATTGTTTTTGGACTACTAATAGTCGTTGGGCTCTAAATGTTTTTAGGTTGCTACTAGTTGTTGAGGGTTTTGTCTTGGTTCTTGTCTTGTGTTTTGGACCTAGTGATTTGGGCCTCTTGTTTGGTCTCCACATTATTTTTTGGGCACTGTTTTTGGTTGTGGTTTTTTTTTTGGGCAAGTTAGTCCATGAAATTCTTAGAATTGTACAAGTTGTTTCCTAATGTTTCCAAATTTTACATATTAGTCCCTAGGCTTTTCATTTTTTTGCAAGTTGGTCCCTGAGATTTCAGAATTTTACATATTAGTCCTTGAACTTTATTAAAAGCTAAATTTGGTTCCTGAACTTTTAGGTTGGTCCAAGTTGGTTCCTGAAGTTTCAATTTTGTGACAAACTTTATTGAGTCACGACCCTTCGGCTGCCTTCTCAGAGCTGCGTTACCCTTCATCTTGGTTTACCAGTAGTTTTGTGCGAGCCTTCTATTGTTATTGCTACTGTCAGAGTCAGAAAATTTCATTGCTGCCAGCTCTTGGTCTGCTATCTTTCTTGTCTGCAATAATTAGTGGTTGTACCTTCTATCTTTGTTGACTTCCTCTCTTGGCAACAACCTAACTTGACTGTTTTTGGTTACATTTCTCAGAGTTGTGCGACTCTTCATCGTAGTCAACCCAGCCATTTGGCACTCCTTAGAATTCTGACAGATCTTGGGGTTTCTATATTTTTTTTAATTAACATGAAAAATTCTTAATCACATCTCTTACCATCTGAAGAAAGCACCAACTTTCTACTCGAAAAGATAGTCTCTCTCAGGTCGACCTAGGCCTCTACTATGTACGCAAGGATCAAATGATTCTTATTTCTGTTGGGTGCATGATTCCTTCTGCTCGCTATGAATTTGGGGTAGGTGCGAAGGATTCTGCTGACAGTATGAGACACTTTTTGTATGCAGTGTTTTTGGATGCGACATTTGCTGTGTTCGAAGTTCTCTCACTCTTTTGTGCATGTTTTTTGTGCATGCAGTCCATGTATGAGCTTCTTAAGTACCGGTCTTCTATTTCTCATGTATATTAAGTACCCTTCATTTGAGGACATTTTAATTGAGGACGATTGGAACTAGTAGAAAGGGAGAGGACTTTACTGATTAGAGTTGTAATTAGAATTTGACAACAATTTTCAAGTAGTTGGCCATTTTAATCATCACTATCCAAGTTGAGCATGTATCGATGCACCAACTTGAGGGGGAGATTTAGTATATATAAGTTAGGATACTAGATTATGGAAATATTTCATTCTAGCTTATATCCAAGTCTAGGTAGGAGTTAATATTTTTCTTTTTAGGATTTCTTTGATTTTCCTTTTTCCTTCTATAGGTAGGATTATTCTTGTATAATTCAGCCTAAATTTCATGTCAAAAGACTATTAAAATGTTATGTTTAAATCTCAGTAATGATTGGGATTTGAACTAGTTTTCCATTGTGAGATGACATTTGGCTCAAAATTATAGGTGCAGTGGTGAAGATTTCTTAATAGGGATGTCAAAGAGTGGTTTAGATTATCTCACCTAATGCTAATTGTCCTTAAAGTGTAGTTAAGTATAGGAACTTGCAGTTCCATACTTAAAAGAAGATTAATTTGTTGTTTAACGGAATCGCTTGATAGACTTCCAGGTGATCGCATGATTAAGTGACACTTGATGCGTGTTGTTAATAAGAGCACCAGTTGTTTGAGATTTGTTGAACATGGTGATGACAGTTTTCCTCTTGCAAAAGCGAGGAAGGATAGATCTCTCTCTATGCGTGTGACATGCATACTGTAACTTGGTCTAGGGACGGGGGAAGAAATTGTGGGAATGTTTTTACAGCCATCCTGGGAGAATTACCTTATTTAGCTGTAATGTAATTCTGCTGTAACTTATTGCTTGAGTTTTTAGCTGATCCAAATAATTTCTTATTGCAGTTTAGCTGTTCGCGACCTTTCCAGTTTGGTGAAGCCAAATGATGTAATTACCTCAGAACATCTAACAACCCTCATCGCGATTGTTCCAAAGTATTCTCAGAAGGATTGGATATCGAGCTATGAGACACTGACGACCTATGTAGTAAGAACTCATTTTTCTATTTATGCAGCAGCCCCATTTTTATTTCAGTCTCGTCCTTCGTGATTCTGTCTGCAATGATTGTCACAATACGTACTGAGTTCATGATATGCTAAGGGTAATAAATATTCATCTCTTCTGTACTCTTTCAAAATAAAGCCAGCACATTGCTCGCCAGGCAGTTAAGTTCATACCATTATTTTTTGAGAGGTTTTATATGTTTTACTTTGGTAGATGTTGCTTTTTGATTGAACTGATTGTTTTAGGTCCCCAGATCCTCCAAGAAGCTACACGAGGACAATGAATATGCACTTTATACTGTTACATTATTCAGTCGTGATGCTGACAACTTTAGAACTAAGGCACGTGAAAGAAATTTCCAAGTGAGTGTTGTTGAGTATCTCATCTATTATGCAAACTATTTCATCTCTTTTCTGTTGTTTTGAGAATATTCTCCTTCAATAGCACATAAACTATGTTTATGTGAGCAAGAGAAGGTAACGATTTTGGAGGAAGGTCTCATCTAACAAATGTTTGATTGTGGTGTGATTTAGATCCGTGATTTTGAATATAATCCAGAAACACAAGAGAGTAGAAGGCAGGAGCTTGAAAAGCTGAATCAAGACCAGGATGCATTGAGAAGCTCTCTGTTGCAATGGTGCTACACTAGTTACGGGGAGGTACTCTCTCTTTTCCCTCTGAAAAGCTGCTGAAATTTTGCTGTTGTTTTTAGTTACATTTTGAAGCGCTGTCTGTTTCTATGGCGCTGTTTTGGAAATATTTAAATTCTTTCCATAATTTTATCTACGTTTTGATCTGTGGTTGAACTACGTCAATTAGAACTGACAAATGAAATTATTAGGTATCAGAGTTGCACTTCTATAGCTCTGACATTAGTTGGAGGAAAAAGTTGGGTGACTTGACTTGCTAGAAAACAAAAGGAATGATACCTCTTTAACGAAGGATGAGTATGGATGAGACTGTTTCCAAGGAATGGAAGTAGCGATTAATTTCAGACTAGTTGAATGCAATCTACTTGACCACTCAAGAAACCCCCACTGAGAATTCACTTGCATAATTAGGATGTCGGACTTCAGCTAACGCCGCATTTGTTTAGACATAAAAAAATCAATCGATGACCAAATGGCTCTGCTCTGCTCTACCAAATAAATGATTAGTCTGAGTTGGACCAAGTTATCTAAAGTTGACCCCCTTATTTCTTGAATTTGCATGGATTATATTTAAAATTGTGTCCCCTATCCTACAGGTTTTTAGCTCCTGGATGCACTTCTGTGCTGTACGTGTGTTCACTGAAAGCATTCTGCGATATGGTCTGCCACCATCATTTTTGGTAGTTAACTTGACTTCAGCTATGTTTTCTGCTGACCTACTTTTTCTTGTCCTAGTTGGATGTCAATTATTACTTAAACTGGTGTGCTGAAAGATCATTGAATTTAATTCAGTCTGTAGTATTGTCACCCTCCGTGAAAAGTGAGAAGAAAGTACGTTCCATTCTTGAGGAACTGTGCAACAGTTCAAACAGGTACTATATTTGGTCTATTTCTAAGTTTTTATTGTTTTTCATGATTGTTTTGTGGCTTCATCACAAAATTATTGTGATGTGGAGGATCTGATTAGAAGTGGGGCCACCATCTACTGATCAACTCCGAATTGCTTGTGATCTGATTAAGAAAATGTTTATAGTTAAAATCCGTACCTGAACTAAGTTGCAAATCCTTATTCTGTACTTTTTTGGGGTTTTGACTACATGAGTCCTCCTTTTCGACCCCACTTTATCTGGAGCCATCTCCAAATTTAAATCACTAAGATTAGAATCCATTTTTTAGGTCAACCTCTTCCTCCATGTTAACTATACATGCTTTTCCTATGAC